ATTGAGAAGAAACTATGGAATACAAAGATAATGAGTATGATTTAATTCTGTGAAAATCTCATCTTATCTCCAAGATGTAAAGGTCTGAACTGGTGGAACTAAACTTGTCTTAACATTTTCCATGGCAATAACAATAGCGGTACTAATATATTTGCAATGCTTTATCTGTGGGGAAGGGGGCTGTAGGGGTTAAGATAATTCATCACTCACACTCCATTTATGTCTGATATAACTTTTGGCAAAAGAGAGTCAGGAACAAATAATTTTTCCAAAATATTTAGCAATCGATTATATATACGAGTCCTACTAATGGTTGTCAGCAGGATAGGTGCAAAGGTCTTGTGTCCCCAATGAATCTATGATACCTCCCCAAAATCTATGAGATATGCCCCCCCCTACTCTACTACATCTCAATTTTCATAAGGTAGGATTCATGTAAAATACAAATCTTATTGAAACCTAATTATGTACAATAATGGATCATATGCAATAGAGGTAAACAGTTCAACTAGAAAAATTGAAAATAAATACAATTTATGTAATTCAAATTAGAAATCAACATTGTTTTGTAGCATTTTTTAGCATCAACTTGAGATTTTTCTTGTTAAAAAGTTGAATAATTTTAACAGACTCAAAATTATTGATAAAAAATAGTGAATTTTATATAATATTTTTTAAATTTAGCATGGGCAAAACAAATTCTGAGATTTGAACAAAAAAAAACCCCAGAATGACGTCTAATTCTGGAAAAAAATTGCCATCCTTTAATAGTGCTTAGTTTAATTTGTAATGTATATAAATATGGGTAGAAAAAAAAGCAAATGTTGATAAGTCAGTGAGAATCATAAAGCACTGGCCAGGGCCACCAATCAGGCTTGGCACCCTGGTCTGGGGTCTCAGGTTTAGTACACACCAGGCCTGGTTGTCAGGTATATGGAGTAATTTCAAGGTAAGCTTCAGGCAGAAATCAGCACCACTTTTAATCCTATACCTGGTACTTCTTTTGGTTAAATTGTGAATTTAGAGATGAACTTCCTTGAAGAGAATGTCATCTTGAGGATTTCTCTGATTGACAGCAGATTTCTTTTAATTCAGTTAATTGATCCATTCTATTTTCAAGACAATCTGGAGATTAGTCAGTTAATCCACTTTAAATATAACTTAAGAATGTCAATATAAGATTTGTAGTTCATGTTAGATTTGGAATTAATGACAAGAAAAATGTTGGTCACATATTTTTAATATGTGACCAATCTCCCTGCCTCCCATTAGAATGTCTGACGCTCAACTTCTCAACTTCTCAAGACTACTCGGTCTCACATTGCTGACCTGAGATAGAACAAATACATTGTCAATAGCTTTGGCCACTGCAAGGAAAGTTGGCTCCCTGTTCCGTGCCAGGAAATTTTTCTCACCAGAGTCGATCCTTCAAATCTATAAGTCAACCATTCGCCCTTGAATGGAGTATTGCTGCCATATATGGTCTGGTGCCCCTTTAGTTTGTCTCAAGGTTCTTGATAAGATCCAGAGACAGATATGCAATGTAATTAGCTCTGATCTGGCACCTCATCTGCAGTCACTCTCTCACAGACGTGCCAACGCCTCCCTCTGTATTTTACAAATACTTTCATGGTAACTGCTCTGATAAGCTGCTTTCACTGATTCCCAGACTTCATGAATTTAAGCATTCTACTAGGCTGGCATCTCGCTCACACCCTTTCACTGTCAAAACTGTTAAATGTAGCTGTCTCTTCTACTCAAATAGCTTCATGTCTTGCACTTCTCGCTTTTCCTGTTTGCCTGATAGCTATAATCTCCAACTATTCAAATGTAATGTCAATCGACATCTCCAGATGCCCTGATCTATCCCCTATCCTTCTCTTCATCCTTTCTTCTATCACTCCTCTTTGGACTCACTCCAACTCACTGTAACCCCTTGCATGCTAGTGGCTTCCCGCCTTGCTTGGGGTGAAACACTTAAAAAAAAATCTTATTTTTGACCTTTAATTCCAAAGTATGTCATCATAAAAGATTAGTCACATTGTCCATTAAGCATATACTCCTGGATCTAAAGTGTTGGGTAGTGAAAGTGTAAAAGTTGGAGTAATTCAGATGCTGGCCAGGAAATGCGATGAGTCCAAGGTGAATATTGCCCCCTGTCTAGGGGTCAATTATAATAAGGTTATGTGCACACAACTGTATTTAATGCAAACGGAAAGTTCACCTGTCAACACTTTCTGTATCTCTTTTGTCTATCTTCACAGAGAGGCAAAATTTGCTTCACCTCTGCCAAGTTTAAACTATTTATGCTTCATTAACACACAGGTGTCTCCTGGCTAAGCTTCTTGTTTCTGTTGTGACTACAACATTACTGACATGACCTGTACACACCAACTGGATACACTAGTCATTCAATAATTAGTTGAATGCAAATAATTCTTCCTGAACTTTAGTATGGAACGTCATATACAGTGCTATGCAAAAGTAAGTGAAACCCTAAAAGATAATATTTCAAATAATTTGTCTTTTTTTCCAGATGACCAACAAATCTTAATTAAAGTATATATTCATTAAGAAAAACCTATATTAAATCAATTACAACCACTTTCAAAGATTTTTATCAAACTGAAATAAAAATATTAATTCAGAATTAAAAATTAAGATGTGCAAAAGTAAAGGAACCCTTACATTTAATATTTGGTGACTTTTGAACATACAATGTCAACCAGTTTTTTTCTATAATCTTTAACAAGTTTCTCACAGAAATGAGTGCCAATTTTTAACCATTTTTCTTGGCAAAATTCCCACAATTGCTTAATTTTATCTGGGTTTCTTGCATGCACTGCCTTTTTTCACTTGAATCACAGATTTTCAATTGGCTTTAGATCAGGACTTTGACTAGGCCATTCCAAGACTTGAAAGTTTTTTTTATGAACCCATTCTTTTTTGGATTTGCTTTGATGCTTCAGATCATTGTCCAAGTTTGGAACTGAAGACAAGACACTTCATGTTCAAAATTGCTTGGTATCTTGCAGAGTCCATTGGGCCATCAATCTTTGCTTGTTCCAGCTGCAGCAAAGCACTCCCAAATCATAATGCTGTCACAGCCATGTTTTATGGTTCATATGAAATTCTTTTTTTCAAAAGCCATATTAGTAACTTGCCAGGTATACTTTTTATTGCTCCTCCCAAAAAGCACTTGTTTGGTCGCGTCCATCTATAAAATCTTTTGCCAGAATGTTTCTAGCTTATTAATATGACCTTTGACATAGTTAAGGCAAGCATACTTGTGCTATTTTGTAAGCAGTGGCTTTTTCTTGGCATTCTGCCATGAAGATGAACATTGTTAAGATTTTGTTGCACTATAGATGTACGCACATTGATTCCAACATTGTGCAGTAAGCATTGGAGAACCTCAAAGGTCATGACAGGATTTGCCTGGGCTTGCCAAACTAGATGTCTACTTGCTCATATTTTTCACAGACGGCCACTTCTCGATTGTCATGCTGTCATACCAAAGGCCTTCCATTTATAAATAATTTGTTCTGCTGTGGAGAAGTGCACTACAAATCGTCTTGATACATTTTTATAGCCTTCTCCATCATTATAGGTTTCAACTATGCAAATTTTAAGTTTTAGGAAGTTCTTTTGATCTTTGAATATATATATTTTTTAAATCTAGTCTCTCACTTCACACTTTTGCATACACAAAAGTTATATTGTTTGACTACAGTACAAAAAAATGAACACGTGTCATTTTGATTTTTACATGTGTACAAAATATCATTTGCATTGGCAACCATGTAAAATAAAAATACAGAGTGTAAATAAAAGGGTTTACTATTTTTTTATTCCAGCTTGATCAAAATCTTTGAAAGTGGTTGATTTAATAAAGTGTTTTCTTAATGAATATATAGTTTAATTAAAATTTGTTGATCATCTGGAAAAAAGAGACAATTATTTTAAATATTATCTTAGGTGTTCACTTACTTTTGCACAGCACAGTACCTGGCCTTGTGTCTAAAGCAAACTTTGATTCATAAATTAATATGGTTGGCAATGAAAAAGGCAGTGTTCAATCTCAGATAAAAAAAACAGGAATTCAAATCAAACGTTAATTTTCTGTATCTGTATATATTTCTGAGATGAGGTATTATGTACACTATTTACATTATTTGGACTATTGTCCTCATCTTTGTGGCCATATTTATTACGTTTCGGCCTTTCAGTATCTGTCTATATTTCTGAGATGAGGTATTATGTACACTATTTACATTATTTGGACTATTGTCCTCATCTTTGTGGCCATATTTATTACGTTTCGGCCTTTCAGTATCTGTTTATATTTCTGAGATGAGGTATTATGTACACTATTTACATTATTTGGACTATTGTCCTCATGTTTGTCGCCATATTTATTACAACGTTTCGGCCGTTGTACACTCCGGCCTTCTTCAGGTATCTGAAATGTTGAACTGAACCCTTTATTTTGCTCACTGGGGTAGACTGTTCTAGTTCCACGTGCCATGTTTAATGGATGTCAATTATCAGTTATCTCCTGTTAATTCTCCTCTCCAAGTTCTCCACTGCCTTAACCAGGTATTGAACTCACACTCTTTGGTTCCTGTCACTGGATCTAACCAACACCTTTATCCACTAAGCCATGTGTCCTTGAAGACATTAATTAATTTTCTGGGCAAATAGTCAATTTCTGTTTGGAAGACTGATGCTGAACACTCTTCTTATACTTATTTTATACTATTCAATGTACTAAGTCAAATAAGTATTAGTAGCATAAAGTAAGAAATAGAATTTCAAGAAATTAAAAGTCCCTAAGAATGTGAGATGCAGAATAATTATCTATCAGAATGTTTTTCCGTTTGTTTCTATCTATATATCTAGCTATGTATAGATGCATCTTATATGGATCATATCTATCTTACTCAGTTCATAGCTATCTATCTATATTTGGTTCATATATATCCATCTATCCTATTTAGTTCCTATCAATCTATCTATCGATCTATCTCAGTTTGTTCATATCTATCTATCTATCTATCTATCTATCTCAGAATGTTATCTATCTATCTATCTATCTATCTATCTCAGAATGTTATCTATCTATCTATCTATCTATCTATCTATCTATCTATCTCATTTAATCTATCTCAGAATTCTATCTATCTATCTATCTATCTATCTATCTATCTATCTATCTATCTCAGAATGTTATCTATCTATCTATCTATCTATCTATCTATCTAACTATCTCAGAATGTTATCTATCTATCTCAGAATGTTATCTATCTATCTCATCTTATCTATCTATCTATCTCTATCTATCTCAGAATGTTATCTATCTATCTATCTATCTATCTCATCTATCTTATCTATCTATCTATCTCATCTATCTATCTATCTATCTATCTATCTATCTATCTATCTATCTATCTATCTATCTCAGAATGTTATCTATCTATCTATCTATCTCAGAATGTTATCTATCTATCTATCTATCTATCTATCTATCTATCTATCTATCTATCTATCTATCTCAGAATGTTATCTATCTATCTATCTATCTATCTATCTATCTATCTATCTATCTATCTATCTATCTCATTTGTTTCCTATCTATTGCTGTCTCTTCCTATCACTTTCATTTGGTTCATATCTATCTATATCATTTAATTCATTTTTGTCCATCTCCATCTGTGCCTATCTATCTATCTATCTATCTATCTATCTATCTATCTATCTTTGCTTTATATCTCTCACTCTATCCACCTTTATATCTATCTTCATCTCTTTTTTTATCTGTCTATATCTCTTCTTTGTGTCATCTATCTTTCTATCTATCGCATTCTAAACATTAATCTTTCTATTATTGCACTGAAATAAAAGTAAATCTGACACTAAAGTATGTATCTTTTTGGGTGTAGCAAAGTAATACCCCCAGTTGAATAGACAGCCTGGGTGCATTTGGATTCAGATGACTCATATAATGTCCATTAAGGAAAATGATTCGAATGATGTAGATGCATATTCAGCACAAAGCAGTTTTGTTTAACATGATTTGAAACACATTCCATGTCTTTTAGTAATTTCACCCCAAGCAAGGTAATAAAGCCACTAAGACACAGTGGGGGTTACTGAGTGTTAGAGAATATGAGAAAAACTCTTATCCTATTCATGTTAAGGTTCAGTTGTTATCTATCCTCTTTAACCTTATAATCTTCATTTTCTGCCACATCCTCTTTCATCCATGTCACACATGTCAATCATAATCACTTTAACAGTAACCAACTACCTTGAGTTTCTCTCGAGCCTTGTATTGGATGACTTTCTTAAAAGAATAAAGATTTTGATCAACAAGCATTTAAAGTTTTAAAGATTTTATATCTCCCTGAAGATAGTGGATTAATAAATCTGTAGTTTAGGACAGTTATTAACTGAAATTTGATCTGAAATTTTCACTCTATAATACTGGACTGATGTGATAAATGAAGACATATTGGGTTAAGCTCATTACTAAGGAAGGAAACTAAAAAAAAAACTTTTACATTTAATTTTAAAATTCTCAGTACCTCTTCTCCTTTATGCCTATATGAAGTCCAGTAGTATGGCTATGAGGACGGGGTTACTCCAGCTGGCACTTTTGATTGTACAGTATAAGCGTGTCTGGGCTGTATTAAAATAAAAGGGTTTTTAATGTCAGGACACTACTCACAGTTGGAGGAATAACTTAAACTATGGCACATGTATTTAAACAATTATTATCTGTCCAAACAATAAACATTACCCAGCGATGTATCAGTGCTGTTTTATCATAGCTTACAATGTGAAAGCTGTAAACAAACCCAGGGTAGTGTTCTTTTAATGTTGTAGCACCACTGTGTGTGGGAGACACCTCATGGTTGTTATTATATAAATTTCAGTTATTTTCCTTCACAGAAGTTTGTTTGAGAGTAAGTGGTTCTCTACCTTTTATCTTTCTGGCCTGTTATCAAGAAGTTATAATGGCAGCAAACCCCCTGCATATGGATAGAAAATGAGTTTATCGGATATACAAGCATGTTTCTTCTCACTTGTTCAACTTATACTGTGAGGTGATTCTGAGAGAATATAAAAGGTTTACCTGGATTTATTTTTGGTGGACACAATCTTAACATAAGCTATGCAGATGACACAATGTTGATAGCAGATATGGAAATAAAAGCAGTGAAGTGAGAAGAAAGAATTAAACATCAACTCGACCTAAATGTTAAATAAGAGCCCACTCCTTTTCCTCTAAAAATACATCAATATTGAAATATCTGATTTTATCCCAAATTACCAGTATTTGTACCTAGATGAACTGTATAATGTTGTTGCTATTGCTAACCTTGTAGACATCACTGTGGAGTATGACCCAAACTATAACATACTAAGGTATTTTTACTGGGGCTTTCATTGTAAAGAGCTTTTTATGTGGTGGGCTTAAAATTCAGGATCTATTCCATAATACACTATTTACATTATTCAGACTATTGTCCTCATCTTTGTTGCCATATTTATCCCATTCCGGCCATTGTACGTTGTGTGAGTTCAATACCTGGTTAAGGCTGTGGAGAACTTTCAGAGGGAAATTAACAGGAGATAACTGATAACTGACATCCATTAGACATGGCATGTGGAACTAGAACAGTCTACCCCAGCGAGTGAAATAAAGGATTCTGTTCAACATTCAAACAACCTGAAGAAGGTTGGAGCATACAACGCCTGAAATGTTGTGATAAATATGGCAACAAACATGAGGACAATAGTCCGAATAATGTAAATAGTGTATATATTACCTCATCTCAGAAATATAGACATAATACTATAATGATAATAATACTATTTTTTTTTCACTTCAGTGTTAAGTGTAATCAGTCTTGATTCCAAATCCAAATCTGATGCCCTCACACTCCTTTTGGAGGACCCACTTCCTGATTGATGATGTTTTCAGGGGTGTAACCATACTTACCATGTTTGGTCAATTGTGGGTTTGTTAGACTATTTATCCCTTAGTTAAAGATTTTGAATTCAGAGTTACCCTTCATCCAGACCATTTGCCATCCAAGGCTATAGGTCCCAGTCTGTCCTGCTATTTTACCTATAGCTGGGAGATGGATTCACACTTGCTGTCCATTACTCCACTGTGCCTCCAATACTGTATTAAATGCACAGGGTACAATGGATAAAGTGTTAACTAAATTACGCAAAAATGAAAATAACAATAACATCTCATTTTAACTTATATATTTAATGAAATTATGCAAATACTTCTTGAAATACTAAAGAGGATAAATTTACTCAATAAAATTGCCATTGGCTTCAACCACATCCCCCTGATAACTTTGGAATCTCTTGCAACTCTTCTGGATGTTCTGAGGCTCTCAACAACAAATTCTGCAATTCTTTTCTTATCATAACAATCAGAATGAGTTTCCCAATCTGTCGTACTTCCATAATCACCATTAGACTCATTAATCTATTTCCTAATCTCCTGCACTGTCCTCAGATTGACACCCAAACACACTGAAATGTTTGTATTGGAGCTTCTGGTGTGAATGCCAAGCAGTACAGTATGCTGTTTCCAAATTTCTGGTGGAGTGAGTTGCCATCACAGTGCTCTTTTTCTCACAGATGGTGGCCAACTGATCGTACTATACTGTGCAGTCAACAAAATCAAAAACTAACGTGTAAGCGGGAATTTAAAGATATAAAATGTTGACAATTTACCCATCGCACTCCGTATATTGCAGTGAGGTGTCTTATATATTATCAAATAAATCAGTGAATAAAATGGTGTCATTATGCTTCAAAAGGACTTTCAGGAATCAGTTAAAAACAAATTTTAACTTGATCTACTTTGAATATCCCCATCTTGATTTTAAAGACTACTGTATTCCATTTATTTATCAGGACCATCTTTCAATCAATCAATATTGTTTTCTTTGACTACATGAACTGCTTTCTTAATGCCAAGAATTTCTTCAAAATGCATTCTTTATTGATTCTTTTAATGAACAATTCTTTAAGAAGGGAACAAAAAAATTAGAATTAATCCAAAGCTACTGAGGGAAATATTCTCATTGAGAATTCTGGCAATTTCATGTCAACCAGTCTGGTGCCATTTCTTGTAATTATTAATTTATGCAACTAGATTGGGGCTCGGGATAAAGTGACAGTAAGTCTCTTTGAAGTTCTATCAAATCTCTCAGTACTCTTTATGCACCAACAACGTCAGGAAGTGGACAAAAGTTTTGTTGATTTCTTTAATTGTTCCAGCCTTAACTTCTAAGGTGTATATCATTGTTGGTAACCTACAGGGAATTCAGAATAGAATCATTTGCTTAATCTATGGGGGTAAACCATTCTCATTCCACTGTGTTCATTGGAAAGGGACAAACAATACCTGAACAGTGCTAAATAAAAATAAGAACTGAAAAATATCCCTAGACATGAGCAGTGCAATGAGGGTAGTCTAACTGTTTAGATTAAATAAAGGGTTTAGTTCTGAATTCCCTGTAGATTATCCAGATCTATGTACACCTGAAGAAGGCCAGAGGGCACAATGGCCGAAATGTTGTGATAAAAACAACATATATATAAATAGTGTAAATAATCCTAAGGATTTACCTCAAACTTCATTTCCTTGTTACATAATGTTTCCAATACAAGAAAAAGATCCTGGTATTTTATTAATCTTTTTATCTCTTTCTATGATCTTCAATATGCGATCAATCTGAACAACTTCATATTTAAGGAATTTTTTCCTTTTCGTCACAAAAAACAGATATAGTCTTATTTTTAATAGCATTTCAGAGTCTCAGTGCATTTCATTTTTTTATTTTCTGCAACAATCTCTGGTTTATTTAATTATTTTTGTTTATTTAGTCATACCTATGTCATTTGCACAATTCTTAGTGTTTCATTGTTCCTACTCAGTCATTTTTATATTTGTGTTCACCTTTGGTTCACCTTTTTGTATTCATTTACAATGTACCTTTTTCTCTACATAGATGACATATTTTATCATCATTGTTTTTATTTTTGAAGAATTTTTAAGTGTTTTCTGTCAGTTATCATTACAATTATTACATTCTTTAAATAAATTGTTCTCGTTATTCTTTAGTTCCATTAGTTCAGACAGCATTGCCTTCACAGAGTAACACATTTCTCATTTTCTCCTTTTGTTCAAAAGGTAAAGATGATAATTCCAATCAAATTCTGATTTTTCTCACTATTTGAAATAATCTCCTGCATGGGTGCTTTCTTGATTACTGAAAACTTAACCACTTCAAATCAAGGGGCTATTATTATCTATCCTCCATATACTCATCATTTTCATTTCCTACAACCTTCTTATCCATTCATATCTTACACACACTTCATTCATCATAACTCTTTTGACTGAAATCCTCTAACTTGAGTGACTCTCAAGCCCTGTATTGTATGAAGTTGCTTATTCAACTTTAAAAGTCACTTCCATTTTGATCTTTGTGAGCTTTAAGTATAAGTAATTGTTCTGTTATTTATGTATAGATTATTGATTAATTATTCAAATAAAAAATTTTACTGTTTTGAAAATGGTGACCACCTTAGCATTTAGATCACAATTTTCTCAAGCTGTGATTTAAATGCTAAGGTGGTCACCATTTTCTAAGAATTAAAAGGGAAGTCAGCAGTGTATAAATGTAAGTAAACAATTTTGATGTTTTTAATAGAATATTTAAAAACTCTAATATTATTGAATTTGTTATGTGTCATATATGAAATGAATACCAAATTGCTTAAAATGTAGAATGAATCTTGTCGGTCATAGAGAGGAGAATCCTTCTT